TTCATTTGTCTTGTGGACGACGAAAAAAATGGCCACTTCAACTGTGCCAGTTGTGCGGCTGGTACCGCTACTACTGAAGTGCTAGTCAACTGCCATCATCGTACAAACACAGCACCACTTGCCGGTCATACGATATGAACAAATACCGAGTTTGGTAGGAAAACCTGAGGAAAAACGATTTCTATCGAAAAATGTCGTTGCACGTAAAATGATTAAGACGGACAGAGGCGCCACTGCGCCCGTCGATCCAATTCAAGGTACTCGTCAACATCTTGGAGCTATTAAAATCAAATGTGAGATTGTATTAGCTATTTTCGAAATTGTGCTTATAAGGAAAGGTGTCAATAAAGGTAGACGAAGCGGTACGACTTCACGAAGCAAATTAGCGCCTGTCATTTACCTGCTTGCCAGATTCCCTGTTGCACAATATCACATTCTATATTCGCTATGTTGAGGTGTTCTTCTGATTTCGATATTCGATTTATATTTTTTTTATTTCTACCTGTGCAAAAGAGGCTCCCAATCAGTTTATTGCTGCTGGCGTTCCAAGATCAGCAACTGAATTCTATCCATAATACGAAATTAGGTTGTTGTACTGATCTATTTAGAAACTATTTGCATATTAGCGCCGGGGAAAGGGGGCATGTTGAGACAGTACAAAGAGGCCTCTGTTGAAGTCGGTGTGAGATCGGAGCCGGTGCGGTTCTCTAAGCCCGACCTAAACTAGGCTTAATAGAGTTTTCTCACTTAGATCACAGCGTGATACAACAGGCTTACTCAATATAGGTAGCCCCATATAGTACAGGCCGTTCATATAAGAGTGAGTTGGGGGTAACTGCTGTTGCGGCTATACCATAATGGACGTAATTGTTACTGCGACCGTCGAACTACGTTTCCCTTCAGACTTCGACGACTGTTGCACCGTGGAGCACCATTGGGTGGGTAATTGGCCAACGATAAGCGACAGCAGGCCAGCTACCGAAATGCTATGTATTGCATTAAGCCCAGAAAAAAACTATCCTGGCATGAACCTCGCGGCCAGCTTGACTACTTCTCGGTAAGGATATGTCAAACAACCTAAAAGGGGCCTTAATGGTTGCTAAGCAGCAAAGTTCCGTGTAGTAGTGTCAGCCGGCTTGTATTCGGTGAGAGCTATCGTTTCGCCTTATCGCTCAGAAATGTTTGGAGTAAGCATACTCACATATAATGAATATTCAAGTTGTTTTGATCGTCTGTGCACGTACATTTGGTTATCTAGTATGAATAGGCAAAGCTACAATGAGATGTAATCATCTGTGAAAGTTTTTACTTCCGATTCTTTTCCAAAGCCTCTAGCGTGATGAAACAGTTGTTGTTTTTGACGGAATATTTTCATAATTTGATTTCCGATAAACATTTTAGAAACAATGCGCTCATCGTTAAAGTCAATGGACTAAACAAGTAATACTAAGAATAAAAAGGCATCTGAATTGGGTATTCTAGTAATAAAATGTTGATGTGTTTCCAAAGCGGATAGTGAACGTAGCGTTAACTCGTGGCGTCGCCAAGAATAGTTGAAGGGAAGATAAAGTTAGTAAAATTCTAATTACTTCGATGGTTATGACGAATTCCAGATAGCTCCATAGGCCATTAATCCATATATTCTGCCTGTTAAACACCAATCCCAGAAGTGTTTGATTAGAAGTATACCTACCATTTTTCAGAACAAAGCTAATTACTAAGCTTTGCAAAATTACCAACCCTATTAAGATCGCGTAGACTGCCTGAGGATCACTGGTAGAAGGAACATGAGAAATCATGCGCCGGCCAGGCAAAACGCGACTCGGTCCTTACAGGCTCGGAATTTAGGTAACCTAACAACCACCACAACCACATACCGGCTATTGCTCTCCATTCAAATTCACGCTAGGATCGCCGTCATTTAGCAGGAGAGCCTGCTCGTCGTTACCCAAACAGTTGTGTGCTTACGTGTGTATTGAAATGAAAACAACAGCCACATGAGAATCTACGTACTTGTCTCGTGATGTGTTAACATAAGCCTACATGACGGACGCTAGAGGATTAGATAATGAGTATCCGATGGTACGGGAAAGTAGTGCAAGCGAACAAATCGGCTGAAGGTGAGCGAGTAGAAACTGCCGAGCGTAGGTAATCTGTCGGCTTGGACCTTTTATTAGAAGATTTTGGGCGTACTTTTCGCATTGTGGAATAAGAGCCTTATAGCGTTTTATCATATGGAGGGTAGCCGCTCCGAAAGCAACAACGAGGGCTGGGGGGGGGACTCTGCGTATTCCTGTGCACGAATGGTCGTCATTACACGGGACCTAACGTATTCACATAATACATTCCATCATCATGTCATGTAATAGATCTTTGTTCCACATAATGACGAGTTCATCCATTCCGGTAACAATTGTAATGAAAACAATGATTTGGGTAGCGTGACTTCTTCTTTATGCAGAGGCCAAAAGGACCATTTGCCTATGTACGCTGGTCTCACTGGTAATTGCAATATGCAGCTTATAATGATGTGTACATTTCTATGAGCATTTAAATCATTGCCAATGCTTAAGTAGATGACGACTACATTGCCGAGGAAGAAAAGAAACTTTACATTAAACCCGTTAGAAGGACGCTTCCTGACGTAAAGAAGCCGTCAAAAAAAAACACTAGAAACTGTTCTCATGTGCAGCTTACAGCTAAAGCTTACACGTAATGTTATCCGCAGGTAACAGTTCTTATTTGAGTAAATGATGTTTTTCGTCTTCATTTTGAAAAATATGGATATTGCTTCACCACCAGATACGACCCTGAAATGACGGTGCACAAAAGTAATTAACCGGAAACTCAGATTCACTGTAAACATGTTTATCAGATCAATCCGTTAAACAAAATATATGTGCGAATTTTAGCAATATCAGATCAATTAATTACTTTATGTGAGATCAAAGTTACATTGTTTGTATCAGCGCGAAAATGATTCATTCAAATTCAACATTATGTGCATGTAGATACATTAATTTGTACAGATGATGTCCATTATTCTCTTGATCCGGAGTAAAATGAAAGCCGAAGAGAGTGTTTAAGACCGTTGTTGTCAGCAATCTAACGGATGCCTGTTCGTTATCGTCGCTTAAAAGTCATATATTGCTATGGCCAGTCAGACACTGCGACAATTTTTACGTAAGCACTACCCACAATAATCGCTTAACGTTGTCGCCTTCATATCATGTTAACAGAACGACACAGCACAAACAGATAAGTCGGCTAGCCCATATTCTGCCAGAAAAAAAAAAGGCGGAGCAGTCGACAAAACGTAACGAGAGGCCTTCTGCTCTCCGATGCGGACGAAGCTATAGACGATGCTCATATCTTATCGTATAACCAGATAGAGGAATATTGCCGTTGATGCAAATCATAATCATGTACAAAGCCCTCCGAAATTCATAAACACTATTTAAAATAGGCTTTATAAACCAAATCAGTATTAAAATTAAGCGCACATTGGCCCCTCCGTTAGTTTTCGGCAGATGGTTTCTGCGGCGGACGGAAGCTTCCAGCATGCAAATGGTCCATTCTGTAGGCAATCCCGACGGAATCGGCCATGTAGTTGGTCTATCTGCGGTCGTCTCGTCGATGTATCGGTCCACAGAATCGTCGAATTCGTCATAGACCACTTCAACTGAGGGCTGCTAGTCAGCATACAGAAGCACTAATAGTAGCTTTTTCGACCTTCTAGATCTCAAAATCGTAATTCTAATATATCTATAATCGTTGACTTCGATACCTCATGGCGTTAATTTGTCACCAAACACGCTTTTACGTGATACAGCCACCTGATGGGACGCACGATGGCAGTTGACGCGCTCTTGAAAGAGTTACGTAGAGTCACTAGGTTACTTATTGGAGCATACTATGCTATTTATCAAAAACTCTGGGACGACGGCGACTTGACAAGGGCATAGAAGCAAGGAAATACACAAGACTATTGTAACAGAACGGCTGCTGACACACCGTTATAGGCTTGCATTACAATAAGAATAGAAGGCCTGCGTGTAGCGGCGAAAAACCCTATTTCATCCACAGCCAGTGCCAGTTCTCCGCTTCTCGCCTTCGTTCACTCGCTGATGTGAGTTTCTAAAAGTCTGGCGCCTGCCATCGCGCACCCGCTAGTGAAATAGAGGATTTTCTACGAGCGTTCAATGCGCATTAGATCTAACCGGCCAACATTCTTTTCTCGATCTTCGTTATTCAGAAAATTCTTTGTTTTTTTTTTTTTTTTTTTGGTTTTCAAATTAACTTTTACCATAAAGTACGTTATTGGCTGTCCCTTCATCGTGGTCTACTAAAAATATTCTACATAACGCTACACAGTCCAATGATATTACACCAGGGATATCTTTATATCATACCGAATTTACATGTCCGTTACACAAATAGTGAGAATCCTAGCATGTTATAACTATTCTTAAATATAGCTGGTACAAAAAGAGTAATATATATGAAACATTAATTTTTTAGGCCGTTTTCAAGGAATAATGACGCCATTTCGGTTACGTCGAAAATCCAGATTGAAAATGATGTCGTTGAATCGTTGCTTTTCCCATATACTTTTCTAGCTGTATAATAGTGTGCAGTGATCACCGTATTACAAGGTATTTACAGGGCGTAAAAAAGAGCAATATACTCTCTCACTTGAAATCTGAATAGTTATTGCATGCTCGATAGCCAGCTAAAATAGTAGAAGTTTTTGGAGATTTAAAACGAACATTGTGATATATGAACTTCAACTCCTGACCTATTCAGCTAACAAATCGCACAGACCTAAGTTAGGCCAAAACGCGTTCGCAATGAAAGAACGAGAAGGATTTTGTTCAGAATGACCTTTCGTCGTACCATGTGTAGGCGCGCATCTAAAATTGTTTGTTTATGTGTACCATTCATCCATTCCACTAGCGGAAGTCCCTTACATGTATCCTTCGTCTATTGATACTTTGCAGACACCTGAAAGCGGAACTACAACGTCTGCGTAAGCGGGGAGCACTGCGACCTGGGCTCGATCCTGAACGGTCGTGTGCGCGGTGCCTCTCTCCTTTGGGCCGCGTTCTCAACCGGGGTGTGCAGTGCCCAGTCTGCCGCAAGAAGGTCTGCAAAGACTGCCGTCTCTACGATAGTGGAGTCCTCACGTCACCCAGTAGCGGATCCACGAATACCGGTAGCAGTTCAAACAACAACTCCGCCCATTGGATATGCGTACTCTGTCAGAAGCAATTGTGAGTGTTTTATCTTTGGCCAGAAAAAAAACAGGCAATCGTATACACTGATTAGCTTTAGACACAAGAAGGAACAACGGCGCATTCGATCCGATAGGCCTCTGTTCGATGTTCGTTGATACCGATAGCTTACGACAAAACAATTTACTGGCATATTCCGTTCCATATTCAGGTCACAACTTAGTACAACTGATGAGTCCTAAGCAATCGCGGACTTTAATGTCAAACGTTGAAATCTCTCAGTATCACATATAATGAAGTATTTCGTCGCGCGCTGTGAATCACTTCGCTACCAAGTTTGCTTATTTGGTTCATCTATCAAGAATACCTGTATATCTCTGAACTACTATAATAAAAAATACTTATGCTCGATGAGAGTACTGTATACTTAGAGCGTGTTTTAGAATTCCCGATGTATCGAGGCGTCTCTATCTTCGTCCTGGCGTAGGCTTACCACAGAACACTTAACTATTGTATTTAGCTAGCTAACTTCAGTATAAACTCACGTATAAGGTTGTGATTTTGGCGTACGCAAATGATTTCCATTTACTTAGTGTCTTCATACGTGGCTCGGGTCAACCTAGTGATTTTACTTTTACATTGCTCCCTTTGCCACTGTAATCAGTTCCTTTAGTTGTATAATCGCACACCTTCCGGCCTCCAGTCTGTTATTTCGTTCCCTCCAGCATCGTCAATTTCAAAAAGCCCATAGCGCTGGCTCCATTTGCTATATTGTATACTCTGTACAAAGATGCAAACATATAAAACTGTATACTATTTGTATTTACCAAGCTTAACAAAATATCTTTACGCTAATAAGCTACTCCGTGCTCATTGTGATGGCTCCGACCAAGCTGTGCTCGGTGTTCGAAGACGCCAGCAGCAACGACAGAATCGGGTTGCGATTTCAGGGAGTGCGCTGGTTGTACGGAAACTTTTATGTAGAAGTGGGATGTTAAGGGGAAAAGGCATACAACAAGAGAGGCATTGATGATGATGGTCCGTCATCTATTGCACAGCATTCGCTTCTATCCTCTAAGTTTTTTTTTCGGTGACATTTTTTCAGGTGTTTCCATTTCAATGTGATAGAAAAGTGTTATTTTTTGATTGCTCGGCTGAGTATTCGCATATCTGTTGGGCAGAAGTCCATTTGGCCTGCTGTTCTCTCTAACAAGCGATTTATTTGCCAAACCCCCCAAATGCTCTTACGGCCACCATTGGCGTCGGCGCTACTATATCACTGTCTTGTGTTGCTTTTACAAGCCAGCAGAGCTAGCACAATCGTTTACAGTGTGCTTCGTTCGACCGATACCTTCTTCCGTCCTTTTATCTCCGACTTTCGCCTTTTTTCGGCCTGGTTCGCTTCTTTCCTGCCTAGCAGCACTTTATCGCGTCCAGCTTTTTCAGTCTGCCATTGTACCGCCGTTGCTGTTTTTCGAAATTGATAGTGGTAGCACCAGCAGCAATGGCTGTAGCCAAAATACAGCAACTGTGCCTGCTCGTCTTCCGCAGTCCACCCTGTCGCCCGCCCTAAATCAAAGGGCGCCAGCGTGGACTATATAACGCAACTCGAGCTACGCCCCAGATCTCATTGTCTATGAATAAATTCGTTTAAGTCTCGTCGAATTTCTGGGAAATTCGTAAAGGCAAGCAAGCGGCGTTCAAATACGTAGGGTTACCTTCGTTTTGGCTATCCGCTTGGGCTCAATCATCTGTTTAATCTTTTTTTTGGAGTAAAGCGACAGAGGTAAAAACGAAAAACCAGTCCTAAAGGTAGAACGGAATTTTTTTAAGAAAAAGGGAAAAGATTTACGGAAAATTAGCCCAACTTCGCTGTAATGACTGAAAGCAGGTCATCTTAAGGCACAGCACAGCGCCCAGTACAAAATAGGGGTCAAAATCCTTTATTTAAACATTTGCAGCATTGTCTAAAGAGCTCTTGCTCGTCAAGAAAATACAGGTGAATCATAGGCATCTTAAAATATGCATAGAATCTGGTGATATGCGGGGGAAGAGGCTAAGGAGGCTAGCGTGGCATCGCTGGCTGTTGAGCTGTCCGTGTGCTAAATTGTGGAATTTTACCTGGATCGTAAGAGGATAAGGTGTCTGTGACAGAGCAACCTAGTACGCCGTTGGGATGACAAAAGCCTAACCCCACGATACAGATGACTGGTTATTTATGGTGGTACCGCACGGCAGCGGCCGGCAAAATATGTCCCTCCTCTTGTATTAGCTAAAGGAACATTCTAACCGAATATACATGCTCTCTCTTCTAACAAGCCTCTGAATTGACAGCCTGTCGGATTATCTGCATCATTTATTTGTAATGGTCTTATCAGGAGCCACTGTGGCGTTTCCCCTAGGACAAGAACCTGTGTGATATTTAGGGCGCTCCTATTTTTTATGATGATATCGGGTTAGCTAGGGGGCATTATTATAGTATTCTAAGAAAAGCTATACTGCGCTAAGCTTCGGGAAGCTATCCTGAACTTCATCGTAGATATGAAGGGCTCAAAAATGATTCAATGCAAGGGAAACCAGTTTGTCGATTCCACTTTGTTTCAGTCAAGTATTTAGTTGAGATTGGCGTTGTTGACCTACGCCCCGTGTCCCTATTTCAAAGGGCTATGCAATTCCTAATGTAACATTATCACGTGACCCTAAGCTTGTGGCGGCACGATGTGGGAACCCGCGAACCGAAGTAGTGAACTGAACATGTGGTATATTATGTAAAATACAACAGGCGCCTTTAACTGTCACTGTGTAAAACGGAATGTTGAAGACTATATGCTACATTTTCTTGTCGCCTCGAATCTACGGGTTTGGTCAACTTCATAATAATAAAGTACTTAGTTATATCATCAAATAACGTTCGACATAGGATGAATCACACTGGTAATTTATCAGTAACCGGGTTCCAATACACCCGTGATTGAAGCTCGATTGAATTTTACTTGAATATTGTGAAAGAATAAACTAGTTCTCTGCGATCGTGTGCCTTTTTCAACTCAAATAAAACCTAGCATTATATGTATATATATACATATGTGAAACTGTGCTCCGTTCTCAGCATATACGAACCGACGATCCTTCCTCTAGCCGGGTACAGGCATACATATAATGAGCTTACAAGTTTCTAATGACAGCGAAATGGATGATCCGTGCTGCTGTCGACGATGATGATACGCAAGTTTGTTCCACTTCTCGTATTTAACTTTGACGTGCATCTTTTGGTCGACGACGCCATAGCAGCTGCATACGGCAGCGTAGCGGATCCGTGATAGATAGATGTTTAGTTACGTGCTGTAAGCGCAAGGCAATTGTGGTGTGGTAATTTGACGGGACGGTGATATTGAGGGTGGAGAAGTTAGGCTCTCAACTGGCAACAGTAACGGTATCTCGAGTTGTCCTTAACGTTGAGGCTGGTCGCCTGTGACTGGTCGTTGCTACCGCGATCGACCGACCGCCGAAGCTGTCGTTGAACCTTTTTCTTTTGCTTCTTTCGAAGCTGCATCATAGGCAATAGTATACTAGATGGGCCGCGATTGCAGCTATAATGGCATCCACCCTGAAGCTGATGGAAAAAGCCGAGGTCGTTAGTAGTAAAATCATAGCGTCGATATCCTAAAAGCAGGGGCCGCTTATGCCAGTGATGCTGTTTTAGCCTCGAATGTCTTGTTCGTCGACTCTTACGTGCTCTCGCGTTCGTGTCCTCACACAAATTGCAACGCTGACAGCTTCAATAGTAACAACCTTCACTCGCGCAACTTGTCAGCCACTGGCGTCACGCCTATTGTTGCTACAGCCGTAATTGATAATGCAAAAAAGAAACAATTCTAGTGACAAACAGAAAACAACGACGGCCGATACACGAGGAAAATTAATCACGCTGCTAGAATAGCATGAAAGATTAGTACGTTGACGTTGTTTGTCATCAGAAATCATTGATACTCTTTACAGTCGAACTTATATACTTGTTGTCATTTAGCCAACGATGACTAGGCAACATCATTACTATGAAGCTTTAATGACCTTGACCGTCGTTTAATCCTCGATCTTCAGTGGCCAGAAGATAAACTTCCTAAATCTATATAGCATGATAGCATTTTTGCCTACGGAAAACATATGTTTACCTTCTGCCATACGATGCACGTATCGAATTACTGTGTTTATTCGATGTCCCCTTAGAAAATCCGAATACAAACCAATACATTGTACATACTGAATGATTGAGCATTTCCATATATGCGAAACAAACTAACTGTGGTCTTCTCGGATCTGTACCGTCCTCGCATTTTGTCGACGAAAAAAAGCCTGTTACAGATATGTTAAGTGGCTATATATTGAACGGCGAATCAACATCGTGTAATTGATCTAGGTCAAGTGGGACAAATTCATCGAGTGAACATGACACTGCACATACATATTCTATAGAAGTCTTACGATAAATGTTTATATCGAAGACGTTGTAAGGGCGTTACGCATACGCCGACGAATCGCTATGCTATTTGATCAATCGAGAAGGGTTAAGTTGTGGCCGTGGCTAGGCAGGTAGAGGGCGCCTGAGAAGGTTGAGAGTCCGTATATGAAACGTTGTGCGCTGTGTGTCGAAGTACAATGCACACGAGAGCTTTAAAAATGGCGCCTTTCTGATGGCGCGAAAATTTTCCTTTGTTACAACTTCGTTGTCTAAAGATGAGATCCGCGTTGCAGTACAGCCAGTTCCCAGTAAAGCCTTTTCTAAGTAGCAAGCCAGTTTCGAGAAGCGAAGTAAATAGGTGGTTAGGATTACGGCTGTTCTCGAAACACCTGCTTCCGTCGCATGCCTGTATCTCATGGCAGGGCACCATTGCAGGTACCTAAAAATCTAGTATTGCAGACTTATTGTGTAAAGTCCGGTAATTACATACATTCGTTTCCCGATGCATGAGGCTAAGACATGTCAACGCCGACACCTGGTTAAAATAGTATCGGATAATTCTAGCTAGTTGCATAAAATA